TAACAAACGGAGACGTAACATTATGTATTATTGTAATAGTGGCGGCCATTTTTTTCATTGCATTCTTCCACAGAATTTGATGTTGATGTTTATCATTAAGCACACAGCTACACAAAGGGCTATCTGTGCTCTGCCCACCACGGGTATCGAAACCCGGTTTCTAGCGGTATAAGTCCGCAGACATCCCACTGTGCCAGTGGGGGCTCTTCCATAGAAAGTGATAGTGCATTCTCTTAGATATATAAAACGTTTGTGTGCCCTCCCACACACTGTGTGTATGTTGTACTGTATAAATTTTATTTGTGTTGTTATTTTGGTGTAAGGACGTGGCGTCATCTATGAATGTAGTTAACGTTAAGTTAAATCAAAGATAATAAATGCTGAATAACAGCAATGAGGGAGTGCGAAACCATATTAACATGCCCCTTGTTCCAAACTATCATCCCACAAATTTTGGTTGAGATTGGCCCAATTACCTAAGAGTAGTTAAGTAACGGACAGACAGACTGATTTTTGTGCCTTACATATATAGATGTTCTCCAATTTCGGACAATTTCTAGATTATTATGATCATGAACTCTCTGTGTATTCTAGGGCTACTTTTATGAAGTTTTTATATCATCGTGATTAGCATCTCCCTCTGTCAAGTAAGTAAATTATAATATAACATTGAAAATGTAGTTTGCAATAATATGTTATAAAAAGCTAGGATGTAGCATTAGCACACAGACAACAAAGGCTCTGGTCCTTCAAAAAAAAAAAAAAAGAATGAAAGAAAAAGTAAACTAAACCTAACCTATATTTTTCAGGAAATCGTCAGCCTCTACTTCTACAACTCAGTGTTGTTTGCAACTCATACAATATACTAATCACCCACTTAGCCAAATAAATGTCTGAGCTATGTTTTGGAAGCTTTAGACTAATGCTTATGATGTAAGCATTTTAGAGACGCCAACTGTACACAGTAAATAACACTTTCATGATAATTATGTTAAAGTTTTGATTATTATTGTTTTTAACTTTTTTCATCTTCTATTAACTATCCCCTGTTTGTAAAATTATGAAATCTCTTGTTGCTAGGAGGAGCATATGCGTTCGTTTCGGAACCGTATCTATGATTATATGTAGCCTACTTTTTAATTACTGAAGAAAATATAACTCTGATCTATTAGCGATAGCAGAATCAGCGTCTGGAAATTGTAAGATTATTAGTTTTTGTACAGATTTGATACAAACGACGTTTCATTTATGTAAAATATACAGCAAAACATGTCAGTAACTAACAAACTTAATATTCACTATAAATTATAATTTAGTATTACTATTATTTACACGTATAACTAATACAGTAATAATCAGTCATACTGACACAGTGGCATTGGCAGTAATATGCTAACAATATAAAAAACATTAAGAAAAGTTTTAGTATTTTCAAATTTTTAAAAAAGATAATAATTTATAATTTAAAACTACTAACATTGTTCTAAATGTTTAAAAATAACATTCCATAATTCACTCTGAGCTTGAGGCTGCCTATAATTTATAGAATTAAAATACTTGACTAGTCTACTCATAAACTCTCAGTGTTGCAGGTTTTAACACAATATGGACTTCATATGTGGTAGAAGCTACAACAGTAATATAACGAGGTGAAGCCAAACAGTTCCACAAGCTAACCTTCCTATTATTAACACTGTCTCAACTGAAGTTGTTCAAGCCTTTCATATCTTAAAATTGTCTCTTCTAGTCTTATTGTGCATAGAGATCTTTATGAAAATGTCATTTTGATTCCAAATCAAAGACCTCCATCATGCCCACTTACAAGTTCTTTTTCTCTCCAGTGAAAACATTTTAAGAAGTATAAGTCTGTCCCCATATGAGAACTTCACCAGATCTGGAATTATCCTGGTAACTCTTCCTTTAACCCTCTCCAACAACTAAACATCCATTTTCAAAAAAGTGCAGAAACCGAAACACAATATTCCAAATGAGATCTAATCAGCATTTTATAGAGTGCATTTCTTTGAACTCAATATTTCTTGTACATTGATTAACCTAATGTTATAATTGTTTTGTCAGGAACAATTTAAATTCCAAAGCTTTACTGTTACTAAGGCTTATTTAACTTTTACATTGAAACTTAATTGTCATTGTAGTGATAAGAAATTAAGATGGCAAATTTTTTTATTAGTGAAGTGGTTGGAGAATACATACATATTTAATATAACAAAGGAACATTTGATTTTTCAAGGTTGTACATGCACACCCATGTTTGAGAGAAGCAAGAACCTAAACTCATATTTTATTTTTTCAGGAAATCACAGATTATCCTCTTAAACTTTTGTAAAGTACCTATTTCCATTGTTACTGATGGCAACTCATTCTGTAAGCTAATCACCCTGTTAGAAAATTAAAATCAATTGCCTATCTTTTCCAAATCTAAAACTTGTGTCCTCTCATCTTGTCTATCTTCAGAATACTGCACAAAGAAATCAGAGGCTTTAATCTTGTCAATTCCTGGATAATCTTGTCAACTTCAATAAGAACACCTCTTACCCTTTTTCTTAAGAGAAAATATGAGATCTTCACCAGCCATTCCTGGAATTGTCTTGGTAGCTGTCCTTTGAACCATTTCCAATAAGTCAATATCCTTTCTTAGACAAGGAGACCAAAATTGTACAGTTGAGGCATAACTAGTGACTTTTATGGAGAGATAAATTACCTCTTGACATATAGTCAGGATGTCTATAAATACACTCTAAAAGTCTATTGTCTTTACTACTAGCAAAAGAGCACTGCCTCAATGACTTGAATGACTTATTTTTCATTATGCTAAGATACTTTTATTCAGTCATGTTTCATTCTGTGTTAAAGATGTGGTCCTAATTATTATAACCGAAGTTCAATATTTTACTATGATTAAAGGTTATTATCCAGATCTTTGTTAAATTTACCAATTGATGCAAGTCATTCTGTATTATCTCAACATCCTCAATACAGGTAGAAATACCCAAGAGTTTACTGCCATCGACATACTTTACTAATATACTAATTATGCTCCTTTCAGTATCATTACTAATAAGCAAAAGTAAAGTTTTATTTAGATATGCAATGAAAAGTTAAGATTGGATGTATATTTTTTTGCACTTTTACTACTGTACCAAAAAGTAAGCTTTAAGATTTTATCTTCACAAAATTTTATAATGTTGAAAAAAAAAGATTAATTTATCTAATGAGCTGTAAAATGTAATTGATATAATATAATGTTTAGCAAGGAAATAGAAATTTGATATTTTCAAAATCAGAAGTGTGTTTTAATTAGTATTTTGAATTTGAAATTTTTATTACAGATACTCATTTTCAGATTTCTCAAATGTGGTTTACTTTTATATGAGATAGTTTTTTCCATGTATAAACAGAATCTAGGCTTAATTTAGTGTGAAGTACTGATAAATTTTATTATGGGTATTATTATTATTATTATAAAGTAACTTATTTTTATTAATAAAGAGTGTTGTTTTCCATAATGATAATAACAGTAAATTACTGTGAAGTGTTAATGTCTCGATTGAATTATTTAACTAAATTGCAGTTACAACCATTTATGTAAATAATGTACAAAAGAAGTATGAAACTGACTTTTGGAAGCTATTCTTCTTGTATGTTCATGTGGACTTAATGATCACTTTATTATGTTTTTTTTGCAGAGATAGACTTGAAGGACCAAATGGTCCATTGATGTAATTACCACTCACCATTTTCTGTAGTATAGCAGACATATATACTGCATAGTTTAATTAACTGTTCAAAACTTCTCTCTCTCTCTTTTTTTTTTTTGGGCAAGTTATGTTTATAATAATGATATATGTATGAGTCAAATACTGTTTGAAGCTTTTATTAATTATGTTAGATAAAAAACACTTATAACTGAGTGTGATATAGTAGTATAATATATTAAAGTGAAGTAAAATTATATTACTAAGAGTGAATAAATACTAAAGTGCCTGATATTATGTAAAGAAACTGTTAAAATTGTGAGAGGGTATAACATACATTTTTACATGAAGTCAACAAAATTTTCATGTGATATTTTATACTTTGAAGAATATGTGTTCAAATGTTAAATGTTTCAACTAACATTTGAATTTGAAAATTTTATTACAGATACTCATTTTCAGATTTCTCTAATGTGGTTGACTTTTATATGAGACAGGCCCAACTACCTAAGAGTAGTTAGGTAACGGACAGACAGACTGATTTTTGTGCCTTACATATATAGATGTTCTCCAGTTTCGGAAAATTTATAGATTATTATGATCATGACCTCTAAAGTTTAGATACTTTTCTAAAAATGTCAGGTTTTATCTTTACATTAGTGTTTAGTGAGGAACTTACTGAACTGAATTATTAATTCAAAAATACAATAACAACAACTTTTACAGTAGGCATGTTCTGACTTTAATAATTACAACATTTTGACTCGCACTATCTAGTCGTTGTCAGGTAAGAATTACATTTTGAATGTAACTCTTACCTGGGGGTGAAATTCTCAAAAAAAAAAAGTAGAGTTGCTCAGCTGGGTGAAAGTGGACCTATTTTTAAAAAAGAAAAAAAAATCAGTGTAAACATAAAAAATGACAAAGCAGCTCATATAAGTCCCGGTACTAGTCCCGCCTTAAAAAATAAGTTCCAGTACTCAGTACCAGCAGAATTTCACCCTTGCTCTTGCCTGATGATGACTTGATACTATGGGTTGAAACATTGTAGTTATTAAAATCACAAATAGCCTACTATGAAAGTGGCTGTTATTTACATTGTTAACTTAATATCTTAGGCTCTTGAGTTTCTATAAATGTATTTTTTTTTCATATGTAGTAGTATTTATACAAATTTTGTCATTTTCAAAACAATTTGGTTGTCAAATACTTTTATATATAATATATATATATCAGTGGTGGTAATAAAAACAAGGGTAAAAAAGACATTAAAAAGAAGTCAATTTGAAACAAGACTGAAGTGAAAAACAAAGAAATTACACAAAGAGGTAAAAAATATAAAAATAAATTAGCCCTATATTTTTGGAATGGTGTAAAATGACAAATTCTGAAATAAGCATCTTTTATATTTATACATGTACAAAGCAAACAAATTATAAGAAAGGATAAACAGAACAGTAGGGTTTAATAGCAAGTGTTGAACAATAAGTGTTAGAAAACTGTATTAATAACAGTTTAATTATTAATTTGGTTTACATGGTTTCAACAATAGGCTTAGCTGTTATTGATACTGTTTTCCCAAGATACTTTTTTACCTGTTTGTGTAATTTTATTTGTCCTTTTTCCTGTTGTATTTTTTACCCTTATTCTTATTACCTAGATGTGTGTGTGTGTGTGTGTGTGAATCTAGGTAATAAGGGTAAAAAATACAACAGGAAAAAAGTCAATGTTATGGGGATAATTAATATATTTTTATAATACATGCCATAAGACTTTTGCACTGCTCTATTGGAATCAAAGATTAGCTTTTCTGGTTTTGTGCTACCCTCTATATGCAAACTTTTTTTATAATACATGACACAAGCCTTCCACACCAAAGATTCCAACATGTCTCTCATGCAAATCATCATGCATCATCTCTCCATCAATAGGAGAGCACTAGTATCACGTGATGCATGTGACTCTCTCTATACGCTACTACCAAACCATCACTTCTCATTTGGCAGTGCTTGAGTTCAGATGTCTTTCTTTTGTTCTTTACTTCTCGAAGTGGTTTAATGTAATTTAATTTACTTTATTTCAAGAAGTTTTTAATTTTATTTTTGAAAGCATTTGATTTATCCATGTTTTGACACAAAAAATCTTTGCTTGTTTTGGTATCAAGCATGAATTCTGAAATTCATGTTACCACTTCGGGTACATCTCATTTGTCTGATACCAGACTCCAGGCCACAGGTGTGGGTTACTCATCGGGGGATTTATCAGCCTTTATTTGCAGGGAGATTGAGCATTATATGGGACAACCTTTGTCTCTTGCTGTTGCCCCTCTCCCTTTCAAGCCTGGCCAGGCTGAAGAAGATTTTCATCATTTGTTCCCCATAGAGTTCGCCATGCCTTCCCAAACCATTCCTTGTGGACTTTCTCTGATTTTATTACCCAGGTATGTGATGTTTTGTCTATTGCTCCTATTTCTTATTTCTATTTCTTATCCTTCCCTATTACATGATTCTGCCTCCCCCACCTTATTTAGTTTTTCCCCCTTCCCCTGATATTCAGGTTCACACTGAGCTATTTCACATGACAGTAAAGTGATGGCTATTAGTATGTTCTTCGTCCCCACGTACGGGTTCAGTATCTAGTTTCGTCCCGTTGGGTAACTACTGTGCA